ATTATTTTGCTTGTTATGTCTATAAAAAATATAGTAATTAATGAGATAACATATTGAAAACAGTGACTTGCATACATTTACAAGCACGTGACATTAGTCAAAAACATACGACGAAATCGTTTTCCGCAAGATCACTCTCAAAATAGATTTGGCATACAAATCAAGAATCACGTTTTGCAATTGCGAGAATGTATAATTGTAAAAGAGATCATAAATGTAGTTTAAATATTATCATGGTATGAATGGATCCTTTTTCTAATTATATAATTTACATTTACACACACGAACAATTCTATTCTTAACTAAGAAAATTTTTTTTTCTTTTAAATTAAAATTCATTTCTATACGTATTTATATATTTATGCCAGAATTAGTTTAATATTAAGAAAAAAATATAATGAAAAGTGGATATTGAAAAATTAATATGAATTCTGTGACAATTTTTTGTAATATACATTTCAATTTGTATTTAGTATTCAATTTTCATTATTTAATTAATTTTATTCATATTGCATGATAAATAATAATTGATGAAATAATGAGAATTGTTTAAAAAAGAGAAAATATTCATTTATATTATTGTTTCAAGTGCTTTTGATAAATATTGAATAATTTTGTTCCACTAAGTTTGTAATAATTGTGAAAGAAAATTAAAATATTGTGAGTAAACTCAAAGTTTATAACAAACTTTAATAACAAAAATTTCTAATTAATATTTATATCTTTGACAATAATATAAATAAACAATCATTTACCTTAAGTAAATTTTTTATTCATTCAGTACTTTTCCATAATGAATTTTATTTTCATTATCGCTATTAATTGACAAAGTATGATATGTATTAACGAATCATTTTTGATAAGTCACCGTGAGACATTGTATTGGGAAATCCAATGGAATATAAGATAAACTTAGACTTTCATTATCTTTTACTTGCTCCTCTTGTAAGATTTAGTCTAATCAATACATTGAGTGATATGAGATTCGATTATTTCTAAAATAGCTGAATTTAAAAAATATATTCCTCTGTGATTTTGATATTTTTATTAGTAAATTTTTTTGTTTTCTGGTCATCTTATGAATTAATTAATGTATTATATTTTATTTTTGAAGTATTATCAGATATGCATTAAATAATCATTCAATTACGATGTAATACTATCATGGAAGAGCATTGATAAGTTTTCATTATCCATTGATTGAAATAATATTTATATCATTTGCTTCATTGGATATTTATATTGCTCACGTATCAAATTACGTTGTTATTGATATAAAAATTGAACAAAATTATGAAATTAATATTGTTGTAAACTTAATGAATAAAAATTCAATTAAATAATTAAATTGGGAATAAAATAAATTGGTTTTGATGATAAAAAAATGTCAAAGTTTTGTACAACTCAAAATTCTAAAGTTATGTTTGTTCTTCCGATATTTTATCTTGTAGAACATCACCACTCCACGCTAATCAGAGTTTTCGATTATTTTTTTATTTTTGCAATCAATTGACAAGTAGTCCTTGATAACAATTGAAATGAAAATATCATGAACTTGAAATTAATATATAAAAATCTAGAAAAAAAATCAAATATCTCAATTCAAAGTTGTTTATAAAAAGCACATGATGTACAATTTGTTGATATGTTACCTAATTGGAACTCATGCCTTATAATTTAATCTCGTTCATACAAGAGAGCTAATAGAGTAAAAAAAAGTAATTTTAATTAAAATGTTATAAAGTTACAATTTTCTCGTTTTAAATCAATATTTTTTTATCAGAGACAAAAATATTCAAGAAATGAGGAATGTTATTATACGATAATTAATGATAATATACCGGGAATTTTTTCCATCTTTTTCTAGTTGAATTATTGATTAAATAATTATCTGATCATTTCAATAATTACCTACTTACCTTTTTAAATTTTTAACATCTCTAATTTTTCTAAATAACTCGAAAAATAAATGAAGCTCTTAAAGCTTCACGGAGAAAAAGAGGAATTGTAAATTCTACTTCAATAAATAGTAGTCTGTCACTTCGGGTAGAAAAATGGTAATAAGCAATTGTTTAATTAGTATACATTACAATTTTTTTTTGTAAACATTTAATTATGAATCAAAATTGTAAATTATATGAAAATAAATATAAAATGTTAGAATTGGAGTGTGTAATAAAATTTTTACAAGAAAAAATTGTAATGGATACTCATTAAACAATTGCTTATTACCATTTTTCTACCGGAAGTGACAGACTACTATTTTTTGGAGTGAAATTTACAATTCTTTTCTCTCCGTGTGATATATTATTTCAATACTTTTTACATAAATATTTAGTTTAAAAAAGTAACAGCATATTATTTTATTTGAATGCATGCTCCCTTTTTTTTTAAGAAACTTATTTAGAAATATTGCACTTAATGAAAAAAATAATTACAATCATTAATTTTAACAAGCTTTCCTAATTATAGTTACGAAGAATTTTTTTATAACTCATAAGAACGGCAATATCACTTATACTCGGTAAACATCTTAATTTGTGTGATTAAATAATTAATCCTTGTGCTTTATTTTTACAAGTTAATTTCACCCCTCATTCCGTGGGTCGGTAATGTTCGGATGTTTCCGAAAAACTTCGGCCCTATATGTACCACAATGTATCTTAGTAGTGTTGAATCATCGAATATTGGCGAGAGTATTTTGAACGTCACAAGTGAATTTTACGTCAAAGAACGTCATTATTTCATCTGTAAATGTAAAGTTGTTATACGTCAATTTAATCTCTTTGAAACCAATTTCAGAATATGCCTTAGAAGATATGTACTTTATATACAGAACACAACTTAATAAAAAGAAAAAGATTTTTAGATTGATCAATAGTCTCTGGTCTGGTTGCCGGTAAAATATGCTGTCGAGTGTAGTATTACATCAGATGTGATTTTCGTTTGGTTTGCAAAATTTTATTTTATAAAGAAGATAGGGACACTCTGAAGTATCATCAAATAAATAAAGAATTTCTATTTATTTCCATGTTGTATAAAATTATTTTCACTTTAAAAGAAAAAAATATGCAAAACTTTTCCTCTCTCTCACTCTGTTTTTCTTCTTCTCTTCTCTTAGTAAATTATTTTCTCATTAATTCTTTTTACTAAGCAATTTTTATTGTGACACACTACATTATTATTTATTATATTATATTTTACTCTTGTATACCCAACTGGGTTTTTACATTTCGACTATATACACTCAATACAGACCAACTTATATCTAAATGAACTTAAGTTTAAATTATAGAAATAATTTTTCTGCACTGTACATTATGCTGCACGCAAGGGGGTTGCAGTTTTACATCCATAATCTAAAATCACTCTTATTTCTCTACATGCTCCCCTTCCCTCCAAACCTAAGTCACCGCCTTCCATACAACTCACACTCTACTTTTTCCACAAACTCGCACAGCTCAAAACAGATGTTTCCCTTGAGCAATTCTACAATAAGACTTTGAATCTCCAATTCGCCTTGATCTCCCTTCCATTTAATTAAAAATTTTTTTATTTTTTCTGATTGTGGCCTAATGGCTTCACTACAGCACAACAAATGGCATAATGTCTCACTGCACCAACCACACAGCCTACATGACCAGTCCCTCCAGCCTTTTTTACCACCTCTTCCCACATTACCACACCTGATCCTGGCCCAGATTTCTTTATACCTAGAGTTTTTTATTCTTTGGTTCCAATACACTGCACCATTGTCACCAGGCTTCAAAATTGCATATATGGGGTTTAATGTGGACCTCAGGATTAGATCCCACTCTTTATTTTTGTACCTTCTTTCCAGTTTGTCAAGACCGCAGGCAAATCGCGCTGCTATCGCACCCGCAGCAACTCCATTTCTTATGTCTTGAATTATCTCAGTATCCTCTATTTCATAGCAAAACTCCGCAAATGCTTTTCCCCATGCTGATTCTTTGTTGTTTAATATACCTCTTACCTCTTCGAGTAAACATATCTTCGGCCAGCGGTCATCGTCCATTTCTAATACTTCCCATAAATATCTACAGGCACGTTCTTTGAGTATGAATTCTATCTCTTTAACTCCTATCTCATTTCTCCAAATATACTTGGGCGTATTCCTAGCAACGCCGAGAATCGCCTTGCAATATCTGCTTTGCACCTTTTGAAGTCTCTCAATCTTACCAAGTCCCCATATCTCTACCCCATACACCGCCATGGCTCTGACAATTGTTTCCATCAGATATATCCTTTCACCTTTGTGACACACTACATTATTTTTATTCACAACTCGTACCAATGTACTTTTCGACTTATATATATATATTTTTTTTTTGTTTCGTTTTCTTGAAAATCGAATCTAAAACATTTCATTAAATTTTCAGGTATTTTTTTTGCGTATTATATTCATAAATTTTATACATTGTCGATAAAAAATTTAAAATCAATAAGTAAAGGGATCATAATTTATGTAAACGTAGAAAACAGTCTTATTCAATTGCATTAGCTAGCTTGCTCAAGTAATATTACAGATGTTACAAAACTAAATGCACACTTTTATCCTATTTACTTATATAATTTGAAGATATTTACTTTTCAATTTTTTTTATGCTTTAGATACTTTGAAGCATATTTTCTTTGAATCATATTGCCCGTTCTATTCTATTATTTAAATATGTATTTGATAAAGTGTTATCAATTTCCAGAGAAAATATAGGGAATTTATAATACTGTAGATAATCTTAAATACAGAGCTTTCTAGATATCATCACGGCTATTTGCGATTCAGTTAAATCCAAATCCTGAAGTGATTTCGATGTTAAATATTTTTTTACAGATTTCTTGAATCCATCTCCTTTAATTCCCTAAAAGCGAACTTGTATTCTAGATTTTTTGTGCTTTTTCTCTTAAATTGATTCCAAAAACCACATTCTATGCAGATTTTAAAGGTTTTTTTCTAACATATATTCTCATTTTAATTTTAGGATTTTTAACTGAGAATGCAAGATGACACAGCGAATTTACCAGTGGTCCACGAGCCCCTCCGAGGTGGCTCCGCAAGCTATCCAAATGGTGGCCCCCAAAGCAAAATCGAATCACCAAGAAAAAATCTTCTCGAGGTGTAAGTATTCAAAGCTTTCAACAATATCTCTACCATAATGTAAAAGCTTATTAGAATGTATGCCAAGTTGAACTCTAGAATAGCTTCAAGTATTTAAAAAACAAACAAAACTAATTCTAAAAGAACCACACGTAATTTATGTTTGTGATTGTCAAGATTTTAAAATATTCTGTAACAATGGTACGATAAAAATGTCTCGTGATTGCATAAACAACTTCATTACAAGTCTTTTATTCAATTTTCAATCGCTATATCAAGAGCCATATTTTGCATTTGGTCTGTCGCTTAGCGTTGCCTGAAGCAGGATTTGATAATATAATTTTACATAAGCTTGCTCTAAATGAGATATTAAAAATGGAAACAATATGTTATTATTTATGGTAATCATAAGACATTTATTATCAAGTTGAAACGAGTAAAAAATTTTTTTTCCTTCTTTAAAACATAAATCTATTCATACATAAACATTTATTCACCAAATTTATAAATCGATGTTTATTATTTATAAATTTTAGCATTTTTAATCATTCAATAATGTACAAATATAAAAATTATTCGGTGATGTAATATGAAGTAATGAAGCTTAACACTTCGATCGCACATGGGGTCACACAGGCTTCAAAGATTTTTAAGCAAAAACACTCGCTTTTAACTCACGTTTATCACCCTAAACGCATTTTTTATCAATTTTCTCTGCACGACATTACACACGAATAGCTTTATGAAGTATTTTATTATCTATGAGCTCAGTTTTAAAAATAGTTACGCTTAAAGATTTCTTGTAGTCATGTGGACTCCATGTGTGGTAATTATCAGGACGAAGGTGTATGATTGAAGTGTTAAGTTGACTTGAGTATGGCATCATGATATTTCATTTACAGACACCGAACAAGACAAGGAGAAGGATAAACAGGAATTACAATATATGCTGCAGAATCATGAGGAAGAAATGTACGAATTAATGAAAAGTTCAATTGCTACACATACCAATATACCATTTATGTAGAAATGACAATGATTTTATTAAAGCAATTTTATTTGCCTGTGGAAAAGCATCCGGACAAGTGGTTTTTTTGAATATTTTAATTAAAATATTGATGATCGTTATTTTTTCACAAGTGATGTTAATTTAATTATATTTTTTAATATACTTATTCTCAAGGGTAATATGATCACATTGATAATAAAATTGATTACAATAATCATCAAACAATTTTACTCTTTAACAGTATTTTCATTCACAAAAAAATTTAAACTGTCAATTACATATTTTAATGAAAAAAAACATAAAGTTGAAAAACAAAAATTAATTGAAATATCTTAATATCTATTACGTTGTTCTGTCTACAGTGAATTTGTTCCACCGCAAACAAAAGAAGAAGAAAAACCGCCAAGTCCTACACCAACACTTCCACCAGTGCCTTATTATAAGCTCGTAAGTTTTTCAATCTCTTGAAATCATTTTCATAGTAATACAATAACCCTAGTTGAAAGGTTATATTTTTTTTACACTGAATAATATTTTACTTTAATCTAATTAAATTTCTTATGGCTGGTTAAAGTAATTTGTTTAATTCAGATAGATAGTTTTTACACAAGAATTTTATGAGCTACTGGTTATTGTATTACACAGGGATTAATGATGTATAAGCTAGAGACTGTCAAAAAAACATCACTGTTCATGTTTGCAGTAGACTTAGCCATGTGTTATGATTACTGTGCTAACATGATTGAGTTTCGTGCAGCACGAGAATCGCCACTATCTCCTAGAATCATTCATTTGGTGTACAAGTATGACATTGTGATATCACTTTTTTAAATGAAACCGATTATTACATTTATATAAAAAAAAGACGACTCGGCTTGAGATTTTATTGATTTGAAAGGGAACGATTATTAGAGATTAGATCTTATATTTGTGAGAATGGTTCTAAAGCTTTTTACACAATTGGAAAAAAGTCCATCAAAACTTTTTAGTGAAAACATTATATCAATCAGAAAGTAATTAATTTTAGTTCAACAATCATTCATTGAAATTTTTTAAATAATTACAGTGAAGTACGTTAATAAGTTCAGCGTAGATAAAAAGTAATCATTGTTATGATGACTGTTGACTCAATCATGTTAACCAAGTAATTATTACTATATTGTCTAGCCATGTGTGTTCACATGATTTAACCTGGTGGAAATGTGAACCATTATAGCTTTTTGACAATTTTCTGATCATCCAGCTCGATGACCAGCCGTTTCAATCCCTTAATATATTCAATTTTTCAAATTTGAATGCATTTTATCATTTTAAATCCTATTAGCTGAATAATCCAACGTTTACTTTTTGAATATCATTGATGAATAGTTGGTTTATTGGTAAAATATAAATTTTCTTTTTATAGTTCCGATTTGCAACATTTGCTGAGTTGATGTATGTGTTTGGAGGTCTAATAATGGGTACCCTGACGGGTCTTTGCATCCCAATATCTACCATTCAATATGGCGAGTTCACTACTCTTTTGGTAGATCGCAACCTAGCGAACCATACAAGTACACCCACTATAATCATGGCATGGTTTGGTGGAGGAAAAGTTTTGTAAGTACAAGCATTTTTTACTTTTAAATTTCAATTCTTTGATATTATCAAAGTTAGTACCACTAACTATTCAGACTGTAGCTTTTATTACTAAAATCATAAGTTCTTTACTAATATTTCATTATAGAATAAAGAAAGTTTTCAGTGCTACTTAGATAGCTATATTCATCTAGATCATTGATAAAATGATATTTATTTTTTATCAAGAAATAAACTATACTTTGTAATATTAAAAAAGGTAGAATATTATTAAAATAAAAGTATGAAAGACGGACGCTGGTTATGAATTAAAAAAATTAAATTAAGAATTCTCATTGCTATATAAATACATATTTATTTCAATGCTTATAAACTGTCAAATATATTAAAATGAATTCATTCCTTTAAATGCATATGATTTTATGTGGCTTTTAACTCATAAGAATTCGAATAAAATGACGACAGGAGTCCTTTCATCATCTTTAGGATTTGTAAGGAAGATGGAGTAAAAAAAAATTCATTAAAATTTCAATGAAAATATTCATTTCATGGATTTTAATCAAATCTTTTTCATTACAACAAAGAGAGCAGATTATTTTGAATCCCCTTAATTGGTCTTTTTATTTACATGTGAAATTTAAAAATAATCAGAGAACCTAAGCAACTATTATCTGTACAACAAGATATTTTTTAAATGCTGAACGAATCTACTATTAATTATTAATTGGGCATAAACATAAAAAAAAACTTATATAAAATATGCAATTCGAATGTTGATTTTCAATAGAGTAAATTCACAAGCAGATTTTACAACTGAATAATTAAAACTTCATAAGCTTCTTAATTAAATTTTAAGGACATAATCAGATTTTCAAATACAAGTATTTTTATGAAATTTATTCAGTAGAGAAAGCGTAGTACAAAATTCAGATATGGATTTAATAAGTAATAAAAATTGATAAATAAAAATGGTCCAAGGAGTTAATACTTATAATTAATAATTAAAGTTTGTTATCACGAGTATAGAAAATCATGATCAAGATTAAAGCTCATAACTGATAAATAAATTTATATATGTTGATAGATACTTTATGTGAAGTTTATAAAATATATATTTATCTGTGGAATTAAGTATCCAAGTGTTGGTGATCATGAACCCTCAAGTCAGATGCGGGTCAATTAAAAACATGACCTGAAAATTCATATCTATTACAAATGTTATTGGCAACATTTGATAGTTGCATAGATACGTCACAATCAATGATTCTGTTAATTTTATTGAATCTCTTTATTATTTCTTGCAATGTTACATTTAGTTTAACAAGCTGTTGTGAATTTTCATCGTCTTTTCTAACCACTTAAATGCTGAAAATGGTACAAAATGAAGAAAAAAAGGGCTAAGGTTGGGTAACAGATGGTAGAAGAGAACCGAAGCGAACAAAGACAAGCAAAATAAAGAGTTTAGAAAAAAAAAACGTTTTATAAAATTAATTTGAGATAGCAAGGGTTTAATCTGAAGTAGAGATTCAACGTACGAAAAAAACCTATTAAATTAGATAAATGGTTGTTAACAGACAGAAAATTTAAGTTTAGAAATTGTATTTTAGCCAATGTTAGAATGAAACTAAGATAATATTGATTTTGACTCGTTAATCACAGCAACCTCTACGCCTATTGTTCTCTATATTATTAAATTTTGAATAATCTCGTACTCCAGAGTCGCTCAACGAACGGCGATGCAATAGCGAATGAGTTAATGCTTCCGCGGAAAACTAAACAAGTAAAACTCGCAACAAATATGCTAAGCTAAACTTGCTACAAAGAATGAGCTCTGAGGAAATTTGCAACAATCAGGTCGAAGCTAGGTAAGTGAAATTGACAGTAACCGGCCATTAATCTAAGCACGTAAAATGTGCAAGGAAATTTCAAACCTTGCAAGTCTCGTAATTTCAGTTTTATAAAATTCACGTTCATTTTGACGTTTATGCACTTAACTTCATCTTTGGGTTAGAGTTATGAAAACAATTTACATGTTGAAAGAACCATTGGCGAACTTCAAAGAATATTGATCAATATTGATTGATCATAATGTCACTTTCTTGAAGATGTGCAGTGAATACTTTAGTAGTTGTAATAAAATCAAATGTCAGATATTACCTTTTTATGTTGAATATTGCTTTTAAGCAACAGATTAGCCATTCCTACAGTACTTTCTTTTTATGTTGTTAAACGAAACATAAGTCGATAGTTTTTAATAAATGATATGTAATATTAAAGTCGTGATTCATGGGGAGAAATATACAATTACTTTGGACGATATTTTAACAAAAAAAAATTGGTTGTAAAATGCAATTCTATGTGATGATCAAATCATTAATTTCATTTGCATCATAGTATTTTTGCAAGTAATATATATGTATCACGTACGCATGTAATGACATATATTGTAATATTGGACCTAGAGTGCATCGTGATTGTTACGTCCGAACCTAATAACGTCTAATTTCATTTTATTGTGCATGTGCTCATTGCCATTAGCGACAGATCCCTCTATTAATTAAGCCTTCGATTATAGATTTTTGTTTATAATATCAGAACCTTAATTGGCAATCACAAAATGATGTACAATAGATTGATACATTGATCGTTTTTAAACAATAAGTGAATTTTGAATTTGCAATTTACATAAATTTCCTGAAATATATATAAAACATTATAACCTTGTTCTATTAAGAAGTCTAAGAACTCAGTGCGAGACGCACTCTCGTCTCTTGATTTAACGAAATCGTGCCAAATTACGCTCGAATCGGTTTATGAGTATCCAAAACATTTTTGGCACCATCTCGTATGACGTTTAGAATATAAAGATGAATATTAATGATGTAAAAAAAAAACAGCTTTCTACTGAAGCCAAAATTTATGTCACTCTGACTATTTTTAAGGTCAAATGCTCCTTCAAGTCTTTAACTTGGACATAAATGACCTTATCAGATTCTATTTAGAGTCTTACTGAATTAAGAAAAAAAATTTTAATTAATTTTCTTTCATGTTTTATTTTATCATTCATACTTTTAGCATCCGCATGTATAGCAAGGTATAATTACTCGAACTTAATGGTTATTTTCCATGAATATTTCCGTTTTCACTTACCATTAGTCTTTGTAAACTTTTACATAAATAGTTTTACTAAATGAGTTCTAGGGAGTCATTATATAATTTTAAATATAATAAATAACAAAGAAACAAAACATTATTCAAGTTAGTAGTCTTCAATGTATATATCCACTTTAATAAAAATGAAAAATTATTTCTAGAGGACCAAATGCAAGTCGTCCAGAGCGTATGGATGCCTTATACGATGATTCAGTAGCTTTTGGTGTGTCATGTGCGGCGTTATCTACATTGCAATTCTTTTTCGCAATTTTTACGGTGGATCTATTGAATGTCGCAGCATTCAGACAAATTTCCAGAGTTCGTAGGATGTTTTTACAAGCTGTTCTCCGACAAGATATGGCATGGTATGACACCAATACTTCAACGAATTTTGCAAGCAGAATCACTGAGTAAGTTCAAAACAACTCAAAGTCATATATTATGATAATGTATGTTTGTTTATTCTTGTTTAGAGATTTGGACAAAATGAAAGATGGAATCGGCGAGAAACTTGGTATTTTTACTTATTTAATGGTTTCATTCATCTCATCGATCATCGTCTCTTTTATCTACGGATGGAAACTTACTTTAGTAGTATTGAGCTGTGCACCAATTATTGTTATTGCTACTGCGATAGTAGCTAAAGTTCAAAGTTCGCTGACTGCTCTGGAATTAGCAGCCTACGGGCAAGCAGGAAATGTTGCCGAAGAGGTTCTCGGTGCTATTCGTACTGTTATAGCATTTGGTGGTGAAGATGTAGAAGTAAAAAGATATACTCAAAAATTAATGCCCGCTGAGACAACTGGAATAAAACGCGGTATGTGGTCAGGAGTTGGCGGTGGTATTATGTGGTTTATTATATATCTTAGTTATGCTCTTGCATTTTGGTATGGAGTTCAATTAATTCTCGAAGATCGCCCGAAACAAGATAAAGAATATACACCTGCTGTACTCGTAATCGTTTTCTTTGGTGTACTTGCTGGAGCTCAAAACATGGGATTAACTTCACCACATTTAGAAGCTTTTGCAATAGCTAGAGGATCTGCTGCAGCTATTTTTCAAGTCCTTGATCGTGTTCCTACTATCGATAGTTTAAGTACTGAAGGACAAAAATTAAAAACAGTTAATGGTGAAATAGAATTTAAAGATGTTCATTTTAAGTATCCTGCTAGAAAAGATGTGAAGATTCTACGAGGTTTAAACTTAAAAATTAAACACGGAGAAACAGTAGCATTGGTTGGCGGATCTGGCTGTGGCAAGTCTACATGTCTTCAACTTATCCAGCGTCTTTATGATCCTCTGCAAGGTCAGGTATGTATTAATTAACTTCTAAATATCAAAATTTATAATTGTACATTTTTTTAAGCTTAATTTCTTCAGGTTTTACTTGATGGTGTTGATATATCAAAGTTAAATGTTGGTTGGTTGCGGTCTTATATCGGTGTTGTTGGTCAAGAACCAGTACTCTTCGATACTACCATCCGAGAAAATATTCGTTATGGTAATGACAATGTTACTGAAGCAGAAATGATCAAAGCCGCTAAGGAAGCTAATGCGCATGATTTTATTAGTAAATTGCCAGAGGTAAAGTTTTTTTTAATCAGAAAAATGTCATTAATTAAATTTTTTAAAAATTGAGGTAATAAAAAATATATTTCATGGTAGGGTTATGACAGTCCAGTTGGAGAAAGAGGATCACAATTATCTGGGGGACAAAAACAGAGAATTGCTATTGCTCGTGCACTCGTTAGAAGACCTGCAATCCTTTTACTAGATGAAGCTACTTCAGCATTGGATCTTCACAGTGAAGCAACAGTGCAGAGAGCTCTTGATGCTGCTTCCAAAGGCAGAACAACTGTTATTGTTACTCACAGACTCTCAACTATTACTAATGCTGATAGAATCGTTTTCATTAAGGACGGTCAAGTAGCTGAAATGGGTACACATGAAGAACTACTTGCATTAGGCAATCATTATCATGCATTGGTTTCTGCTGATGCTAGTGCAACTGCAAAAGGTAAAATATCTTTAAATAATCAGAAATTATTCAGCATTACTATTCTGAATTAATGTAAATCAAATATTTACGTTCAATTGTAGCTAAAGCCACAGCAACCGCAGCAAAAACAACCGTGACAAGTGTGCCAAAGGTTAAACCTCCATTGAAAAAGCAATTTTCTACACTTTCTATGCATTCTCATCGTTTGTCTTTAGCTGGTGGATCTACTACATCTGAAGAAGAGCTTGAAGAACATGAAAAACCTTATGATGCTCCAATGATGAGGATTTTTGGATTAAATAAGCCCGAGTGGCCTTTTAATATAATTGGTAAATTTATAAAAAATGATTGGAAAATGTATTGTAAAAAACATGAATTAATAAATATATTAATTAATCAGGTTGTTTAGCTGCTGCAACCGTTGGAGCATCCTTCCCTGCTTTTGCTGTACTTTTTGGAGAAGTCTATTATGTTCTCGGTCTTGAAGATCCGGACGAAGTGCGACGAGAGACTGTTAATTTTTCCATTCTTTTCATTATCGTAGGGGTAGTTACTGGGATAGGAACCTTCCTTCAGATGTACATGTTTGGTTTGGCCGGAGTACGAATGACCACTCGAATTAGAAGAATGACATTTAGCGCTATGTTAAAACAAGAAATGGGCTGGTATGATGAAGATTCTAATAGTGTAGGAGCACTATGTGCCAGATTATCATCAGATGCAGCTTCAGTTCAAGGAGCAACTGGAAGTAGAATAGGTGCAATTCTTCAAGCTTTATCTACACTCGTCCTGGGTATCGGTTTATCGATGTATTATACATGGGAAATGACTTTGGTATCAATTGTGTCTATTCCATTAGTTCTTGGTGCAGTATTTTTAGAAGCAAGAATAATGAGTGGTCAAGGTTTACAAGAGAAAAGAAAAATGGAAGGTGCTACAAGAATTGCTATTGAAGCTATATCTAATATTAGAACAGTAGCAAGTTTAGGAAAGGAAACTACTTTTCTTGAAAAATACTGTGTAGAATTAAATCACGTTGCTGCTGCCACAAGAATTAGAAATCGTTTACGTGGGCTTGTATTCTCATGTGGTCAAACTACTCCTTACTTTGGTTACGCTCTCAGTCTTTACTATGGTGGATATTTAGTTGCTCGACGTGACCTTGATTATCAAAATGTCATCAAAGTTTCAGAAGCGCTAATATTCGGTTCTTGGATGCTTGGTCAAGCTCTTGCGTTTGCTCCCAATTTCAATACTGCAAAAATTTCTGCTGGCAGAATATTCCGACTATTAGATCGTGTACCTGAAATAATGACTCCACCAGAATTAGAAGGAAAAGATAAAGACTGGAAAGCAGATGGACTTATACAATTTTCAAAAGTTGAGTTCCATTATCCAACTCGTTCTGAAGTTCAAATTCTCCGTGGTCTCAATCTTATCGTTAAACCTGGACAAATGGTTGCATTAGTTGGTCAAAGTGGCTGTGGAAAGTCGACATGTATTCAATTATTACAACGACTTTACGATCCTTTGTGTGGAAATATTACGATGGATCGAAAAGATATTTCTTCTGTTTCTTTATCTGCTTTAAGATCTCAACTTGGTGTGGTAGGACAAGAACCAGTTTTATTCGATCGTACAATTGCTGAAAATATTCAATACGGTGATAACAGTCGTGTTGTTACAATGGACGAAGTGATTGAAGCAGCAAAGAAATCAAATATTCATAGTTTTGTCAGTTCTCTACCACTGGTAAGAATAAGAATATTATTTTTAAATAATCAATCAAATGAAATAGGTAACTATTTTAATTAATAATCTTTCTTTTATTTAATTTAGGGATATGATACTAGGCTTGGAACTAAAGGAACTCAGCTTTCGGGTGGTCAAAAACAGCGTATTGCCATAGCTCGTGCTTTAGTTAGAAATCCGAGAATTCTTTTACTTGACGAAGCAACATCGGCTCTTGATACTCAGAGTGAAAAAGTAAGTTTCAGAATTTTTAATGTATTTAAATGAAGTGAACAAACTACTTGATGTAATTACTACTAAAAATATTTTTAGAAAGTAGATCAATAAAAAGGTGTCACTTGATAAATGGATAGGTTATTAAAACTAAAAAAAAACTCTAAACTTTGAACGACAGACACTATTTTTTATTTTTTTAATGAGAAACTGTTAGTTCCGAAAAAGAAAAAAAGTTTCCTGTCAGTCTTTAGTCTTAGTTATCCATTTATTGATCTGTTTACCCTATCTGACTTCATTCTATTCAAGAATTCTTACATGCCATTGTCAATAATGGTGAGTTTTTTGTTTGAAAAATAGGTCGTCCAAGCAGCTTTGGATAAAGCAATGGAAGGCAGAACTTGTATTACTATCGCTCATCGCTTAGCTACAATAAGAAATGCAGATGTTATTTGTGTTCTCGAAAAGGGTATGGTGGCTGAAATGGGTACTCATGATGACTTAATAGCTTCTGATGGACTTTATGCTCATCTTCACGCACTTCAAGAAACAGCCATGGAGTAAAACATACAGTTTTGCTTTTCTCTGTAAGATAAAATAGAATAAATGGCATAAAAATATTTTGAATCTATTTTAACAACCCTCAAATGGTATGTTACAGTAATTATTTTAGTTCGCGCATTTAAGTTTCAGATAAATAGCAGATTGTAATTTGCAATGTATAAATTAGTTGTTTATAAGTAAAAATAATCATTAATAATAAGAATGGTATAAATGATAGTAAAAATAGAGTTTACTTTAATTTCATGAACAAAGTAATATTAATATGAGCGTAAGAATTACTTCAAGTACTTTTTTGTTCTACATTTAGGATATTAAATTATCTAATTTAGCTGTGAAATGTTGAATAAAAGTTTAAGAGCGAGGAAAATTAAGTATTGTTTCAATTAAATAAAGAATAATTAAAACTATTTTGATATTTCTCTAATAATTATTCAAAAAATTTTTATGACAATATGAATGAAAATCCTAACAGTATATATTTATATTACTATATAATAGGATTGTAATGAATAAAAGCTAAACACGTATGTGACTTTCTGTATGATTTGTATTTTAAATCAACTTCAAAACAAAATGAAAAAATAAATAATGGATAAATGGAATTTTCCGGATGTTTGTATTATTATGTACTTTTATTGAAAACTAAAACTTTTTAACAAGATACTGAACTTTCTTCTAACAAGTAGAAAAATAATTTAGTTTTATAGTAATAGTTAATTGAATTTGTCCAGATCTTTATTTTTTAATGCAATGTATTCATATGCATACTGTTCGTCAGATAAGAGTTATTTATCGTTGAATTTTTACTTGAATTAAGAAATAAAAAGTTATCGTCTGTTGCATCCTTGAAATTTGAAAGCATCTGAAAATAGCCATTATTTATAAGATAAGAAATACAATTATAATACTAGTATCTAATTAATGAACTATCGTTAAATTTCATATTCTTCGGAATAAAAATTATCTTATGTATTTTTTTTGTATTTAATGGAATTTATAACTCAAAAGTTATGATCGTAATAAAATGTTTTACCTGATCTAATGAAGTTTGAGTTAATGTATAGTCTACTGCGTCTAACTCCATAGCAAGTTTCTTTACTTTCAAAAAAGTTGTACTCAACTTTTCCGTATGTTTATTTAATATTAATTGAGCAGTTATAGATTGTCTAGACAAGATTCTAGCATTATTTAAATTCCGTAATATGGCATCATTTAATTCTTCCAGAGAAACTGATCGATTAAATCGTAGAAAAACTATATAACTTTCTCCAAACCTAAAAAAAAATTTCTCATAGTCCAATAATTATTTTTTTTTTGTAGAATAAACATTAATCATAAAAATACGTACTTGTGTTTCAGATGCTGTACTGTTCCTATACACCGTAAGCTGGAATTGGCAAGTATCCCTACTCTATCACAAAGTTTTTCCAACTCTAAAACACTGTGCGATGATAAAACAACAACTTTTTTTGTTTTAATTAGCTGTCGAATTATATAAGCTATTAGTTCTTTTGATGCGGGATCCATTCCACTAGTTGGCTCATCCATTAATATCACAGAAGCAGGAGCCATTACACTTATAGCTACACACAACTTTCGTTTATTTCCACCACTAAGACTTGATACTCGCTGATGAGCATATTGTTGCAAATCAAAAGTGTGCAACATCATTTCTACCACTTCTGATACTCTATTAAATCCACATACTTCGCCATGAATGGTTAAGCACTGATGTGGACTTAGAAAACTATCCAGAGCATCAGCTTGCGGGCAATAGCTCATTTGGCTTTTAGGAGGTGGACGCATACCAATTTCTTGATTGTTGAACATTATTTTTCCGAATGTAGGAAGTAATTCTGTAGTGAGTAATTTGAAGATTGTACTTTTTCCTGCTCCATTAATGCCTAGTAGACCAAAACAAGTTCCTGCTGGAATACTAATGTTCAAATTTCGTACAGCTGTAATTGTTCCATTCATAGTTTTAAATTCTTTCGTGAGATTTACTGTTTTTAAAACGTCTGTATTAGACGGATTCTCGACACGAATTCTTTCTTTTAGAACGTCATGATCAATATCATTACTATCATTTTGATAATAATTTCTGAAAAAGAAATTTTTATTAATGAAAATATTTTGAAACAAGATTTATTCTTTTTATCAATAATTTGGCTCACTTTTGTTTTCTGCAATAAATCAATTTATTGTATTCAATTAAAGCATTGATAAAATGGAAGACAAAACCAACAATGAATAAACATGTATAATGTTGTCCAACAAGCTCCCAACCAAGGGGTGATTTATAAGTATTCATATTGAACTTTTGGAGCAAGTCTGCTTTAATATGATTCGTTGAAATTTCAATCAATGCATCACCTAAGGCATATTGTGGAAGTATGAGCCAAACATTGTGAAGCAATTTCCGAATATTTTTAGTTGTTTCACTAGTTCCTACAATATCCAACACAAGAATCGATGCAAGACATACAACTCCGATAAATGTATTGAAACAAAATAATACCATGTTAGGAAGACTTGAATTGTTAAACATTTTTTCAAATAAATGAGTAAAAGGTATTGACGCCCAACTATGAAAAAAAATATTTTTAATAATATTTATCTTGAATAATCAGTAATTAACTGCAAAATAACTTGAAAATAAAGAATAAAAATGATAAATATTTTACTAACGAAAATAATACCAGAAGTAAGCATAGCCCTGGAAGATTATCTCTTTCAGTGTATGCTGGTATTCCAAATATTTTAAAAACTCCTACGGCTAAAGCTATAGATAATGCAAACATCTGAAAAAATATGTGTATGTATAGTTAGCTTTCATTAATATAGGTATTCTATGAATCAAGATAAATCCTAATTCGAGTTTTAATTAGAACAGAAGGATTTATTTGGGTAGTGTATTACTATCATATCCCAGATTAGAGCCATCGTCCAGTAAGTTATTGGATGAACCCCTGCTAGATATAAAATACACTTTTCTTCAGACAATCTCTCACGAACAAGCTCTTTAGCTCCTTGAGCAGCAACTAAGTTGAAAGCAATCAAAAGTACTAGAGCTATTCCAACATCTGCAACGTGCTGCAATCTGGAAATATAAGTATGAAAGCGTGGATGATCCTTATCAAGAAAATTTCATACCATTGATATTTTTTTCAAGTGATACAGATCTAGTAAATGTTGAATTTTTATTTTGGATGAGTTTGTTCTAATACTTACATAGTTGTTCGGTTCAATTGTTCACTTGATAACTTTAACGGATGATTTGAAGCATTCAAGTTTGTAGAAATTCCTAAAGCTCTACTGATGGCATTGTTAAGAGCGTTTAAGTATGCTGGCAAAGAGTGATGGCCTTTGTTATTGAACCAAATAACAAATAATGGATTGTCTTCTTTGTGAGAAAGGGTCCAGCCGCCATATCTAGGTAGAATTTCACAAAATCGTTAAATTAATATATATAAAATGAAAAAAAAAATCTTTTTAATTTACCTGTTTTCAATATACTCTTGAGATGTTGAAATAATCCAATCTAATGTTGGACGACCTGGTGATACTTGTAGAAGACCTAGGTCTCTTTTAGTTTTTGAGCAAATTTGTTGACCTTCTATGCATTTACAAGTCTGAGTATTCTACAAATATAAATGTAAATTAAAAATAAATTTTTTATGTGTCTAATAATAAAGAATATTAATAATTTAAATGAGCAATCATCACTCGCATTATTACTTGTTTATTGATTTTTTTCCATGCAAATAACTCAATTAGCTTTATACATGGAGTAATTAATTAAAACTCTTTTCAAAGATAATAAATTTTTTAAAAATGCATATCAAGAGTCTGATAGTACCATCTAGCAGATTTTTCTCCAATGTTTTGTGATAAACATATTTTGCGTTATCAACCAACACGTGATGTCTTTGACTGAGTCAATAATTTTCATTGATTTCATCATATTATTCAATTAAATTCCATGCAGCAATGTTATCTTTTAAATATATTACTTATTTACCCATTGTAAATTGATTGTAATAATAGGGATACAATTAATTATACGATTTATTATTAATTCACATAGAGTACCAGCTTCTAAAATGTAAGGTATCTACTGTGCTTTACCATCGAGAGTTTAGCAAAATGATGCTATTCTTAACTCGTAGATGGCACAAAACTGAATGAGTTTTGCTACGAATTTGGAAATAATAATATACAATATTTAGTTACAGTAGTTTTTTTAATACTTCTAGATGTTATTAAACTAGAAATTCAACTTAGTAAATGTTTAATTATTATTGCTGAATCGTTACAATTTTAAAAGAGTCTACTGAGCAATATTTTTGATAAGAATTAACAGCATAGTAGGATTTATCTCCATAAAGTACCGAGTCATAAGAATAAAAATATGATAATTAATCGTGTCATAATTATCGGCAAATGTTATTAGTTAATATACTTACATTATCAAATACTTTAAGTGGGTCTCTATATTTATCACCAAAACGTTCTATCAGATGCGAAGAAATACTATCACAAAATAAATCTGTACCATTGTCAACACTATAAAAATAAACTGGTTGATTATTATATAACTGTGGTTCAAGTTTCAATGAAGGTTCATCACCAGATGGAGGTCGAATTAACGAAAATCCCATAGCAATAGCAACTAAAATTGTTGGTAAAATCAAAGTAGCAGTAGGTGCTCGCCAATCATTCACAAAATGCCATATTCTTTTTTTCAATAGAGCTTTAACTTGTTTAATAGGTGAAGGATTCATAAATAATTCATTCGAAAGAATTTTTTTTCTACTGAAATATAAATCAATATTTTTAGATTTACTATAGCTAGAAGTGTTTGTATTTTCTTCTGATGCTGGTGTAATCATTTCATCTTTTTTACAAAGATGTAAGAAAATAGAATCTAGTGTATCACATTTTAAAATAAGATGTGAAAAACCTAGATGTCCTTTATTCTTTTCTAGAATTTTTAAAACACCAACAATGTCATTTAAACCTCCATGTATTTCTCGAAAAGGGAGATTTATTACAATGGAATCTAAAGTACTATCAAATGTTGCATTGGAAACTATATTTTCTAAAAGAAATTGAATTTTTTTTGTACACCTCATATCAATTTCTCTAGGTTCGTTCGATGGAAAAGTAATATTTATCCAATAACCACGACCGTACATTGTTTTTAAATAAAGTGGTGATCCAGTGTAGAGAATTTTTCCTTGGTTTAATATTATTATCGTATCACTCAACATTTCAGCTTCATCTAGATGGTGTGTAGATAAAAGAATAGTCGTGTGAGCTTTATATCGTTCAATTAAATTCCATATTTGTCTTCGAGATGTAGGGTCCACTCCAGCACATGGTTCATCAAGAATTACTAGCTGAGGAGAACATAAAAAAGCCAATGAAACACATAAACGCCTTTTAGTTCCACCCGATAATCTGGACACTGGTTCATTTTGTTTCTTGCCGAGTTCTAGTGTTGTCAAGAGCGCATCAACATGTCTTTCTATTTCTCGATTGCTCATTATATTTTTTAATTTGGCATAAAACACCATATGCTCTCGAGGAGTTAGCACATCAATAAGTACATTATCTTGTGGACAAACACCAATATTTGGTTTTTTATCTTCATTTCCATTCAAATAAATTCGACCACAAGTTGGAGTTATGATGCCAGTTAGAATTTTACTAAAATTGTTATTAATATTTAATACTCATTTATATCAATAATAATAATAAAAATATCTTACATAATCGTAGTTTTTCCTGCGCCATTTCTGCCAAGAAGGCTCGTTATTTCTCCTTTGCGAAGATTAACTGTAAAATCGTCAATAGCTACACGTTCTCCATCTTCAATTTGATAAACTTTCCTAACTGATTCAAACCGTACACCCATTTCTTGTTTAGTTACAATAATATTATTGTTTTGTTGTTTTTTATCTGCATTTGAAGACGTATAAAACGGTATTAATTAAATGAAACATTATAGTAAATGAATTTAACTTCAAAAATCAACATTTTTACCTGAATTTCTATGTTTTGTGATGAAATATCCTATGATAGCATATAAAATAGCATCCAAAAATATAATTATCATGATTATACCTAATGACATCTGATTACCAAAATTTGAATCATCCCAAATATAATTCCATTGAAGACCTTCACCTTGTACTTCTCGTCTAGCAGCATAGAGACATCCATAAGAGAAACTGGTAGACATACTTAAACACTGAAAGAAAATTGTTTGAATACTTATTAATAAAATACTTTTTTTTTTATTTTCTTAGATACTTACAAGCATAAGATTATATCCAAGTCCCAAGTTACTTTCCATTGCAATAACAATAACATATGGCATATAGGTCAATAAAAACATAACAATAGTTGTTACAGCTGCTAAACTTGCTGAACTAAACATAGTTGAAATCATGTAACAAAATGTAATTAGTGAAAAAGTATAATCTATGAGCAGTGCAAATAATAAAGTTGGATCTGAATGAGGAAGAATTTTTCCAAAAACAAGAATAATCAAAATAGTTCCACAGACAATTAATAATTCAACAAATGTTGTAATGAACCATGCAATAATATTATTGCGATAATTCAAGCCCATTACATTCATTATTATTTCATTTTGTGATTCTCGCTCCCAGACAGAAAAATGCACTGCTGATCCAATGCATATCATCAAAGTGAAGAAAAAGCATACTACTAGTCCTTGTGATTCGTAGAGGGTCGACTGAAATGAGGAATATTTCCAACAAGGATAAGGCATTTGTTGAGTTACAGTCTTCCAATTTACGCTCTTTCCTGTTTTTATTTCTATTATTGCTCGATCAATGGAGTCTTGGAGTTGAACAAAACCATGAAGATACTTGAGATTTTCAATAAAAGAATCTTCTGGACCAGGGATCCAAAATTGATTCTTCAACCTTTTTGTTGAAGGAACATAATCCACATCCATACGAATTTTATAATTAATATTATCTAGTAAACTTCTTTTAGATAACAAACCTGAAGAATTATTTTCTGAGAAAATAACACCAGCTAAAAATTCATGAGAATTTATTAATTGTCTAGCCTCGATTTCTAATTCTTCTTCGCTCTTAAATCCAATCATCCTGTTACTTAAGATACATTCCATGAAATTATTCATAGTTTTTATAATTTCTGCAAATTGTTCAATTTGTTTAAAATCCAGACTGACATCGCTGAAATCAAATGTAAATGGATTGTCTGAAGCATCGCCTTTGGTCATAGATTTTATTATTTTTTTCATAATTTCTGTATTTAAGATTTCTTGAAGTTCCTTCAGATTATCTTTTACATCAGCTAATCTAGAAATAGCTACAAGAGTTTTTTCAAAACTTATCAATAAATTTTCAAAGGTTTCAATTTCATTAAAAGTTTTATTCGCAAGTTTCATAATTTCTCCATTCAAAATAGAATCAGGAGCATAAAGAATTTTTCCTCTAATCAGTGGTTTTACATATGACCAAATAATTTTTCCAGCATTCATTTTTACAACACTTTTATACAGATCTCGACAAAAATCTGTTGGTAGTGATTCCAATTCTATCGGATCAAATGTTATTTCAGTTTCTTTTATAGAACTTATAATACGAGTTATTTGTCCACTATCAGATCTTGATTGTTTTCCACACATCATTTCATTGGCAGATTCAAGGAAATTTTCAATAGATATCTTGGAGTTGTTTGTATTTTCCGAAGGAATATTTAGGTTGATTCCTGATGACATTTTATCTTTGAACAGCATCAGAAGCTTAGCATTGACTCCAATTTTATCAAAAATTAATTCACTGTCTTGTTTGGTCAAGTTAGCATTTTTAAGAATGGTACCAACGTTTACATTCATCAGATTCTGGAATATGTAATCGAATTTTAAGTGCTGAATAAATATCATCATAATATTTTGGATAGCAGAAGAATTAAGAGAACAAAAAATTGAAATAAGTTCATGAGCATCAGTTTCTAGAGCATTGAAGTTTAGAATGGTTTCTGAATTATTTTCAGCACAAACACTATTCTTCATTCCAACTGCTGCTCCTTGTTTTAAAATTGCTATAAAAATATTCACTTTTGTATGACCTAATATAGCTACTGTCTGACTTGGAATATTTAAATCATCAATTAAAATTTTTTCTAAAGTTTGCCAGTCGTTAAACATTTCAGAGATTGTAATTTTGAGATCAAGAAGACGAAGATTTTCGAAGATTTCCATTGACTGAAGGGTATCTACTATTTGGTCAAGGCCTTGTTTAATTTGATGACTATCAAAGAGAAATTCCGTGTGATTAAATATTTTTTTAAAGCCTGTGAAAAATTTATCCACTGATTTATTTTTAATAATATTCAATAATTCATCCACAAGATCAGAGTTTGCTAGAAAACTTGATACATCTTGAAAATCCGCTTTACTTGCAATATTAATTAGTTTGCTACCTTCTTCCAAGATAGTTGATAATTCATCTAATATATTTTTGATCCAAACAAAATATAACGAAAGTAAGTTTCCATAGTTTTCATTTGTTGAATAGTAATCTGAACTTCCTACATGCAATCTCACAGCTGATGAATCATAGATCATTTTTTTATAATATTTTGTCTCATCCTGGATTTTGACTGGATTAAAAACAGTCATAAAATCAAATAATTCTTTACAATCTTTCCTATCAACATTAGTTCGATCTTCTAATGCTAAATTAAAATATAACATAATATTTGGAAAATTACTCTGAATTTTGTTAACAATTTCTTCACTTAAAATATTTTTCAATGGCTCCCAAATAAGCACGAAGGTTCTTGATTCATTCAAATTATTTTTGAAATCATCATAATTACTAGCAATATATGTGATATTTAAATTTTGTTGAATATTTTTTAATAATTTTTTAGCTTCTTTAGATTCGAACATTTTTTTATCTAAAATAGTTTTAATATTTAATATCACATTATTTAAGTTGTAATCAATTTTTTTCTCAACCGCGAATAGTTCCGTTGATGAATTTGATACAAGAATTATTTTTTTGACTAATCTTCGAAAATGAGAGTATCCGGATGTCCAGTTGAAGTTATAAATTTGTTCAGCTGTTCCATCTTGAAAGATTTTATAAACTTCCATGAAGAATGGTAGCTTTTTCCATATTTTTCGATAACTTTCTAAATTAACAGTAGATGATGGCTGAATAATTTTTTGTAATGATGGTTTATAAAAACAAGTTCCATTCTTTTCTATTTTGAGATCATCAGTTGCGACTTCATCAACTGTAAATATATTTTGAATTCCAACAGTAGTATTATGAGATTTAGAATCAAAAAGGATCTGAGTCTGAGTTACATCACTTGCCTCAGTATGGGATAAGATAATATTATTTCTATCTAAAATAGTATTCAATATCTTCTCGGCAGTATTGAATATTGTACTAAATAATTCAGCTAAAGCCTGAACATATTGCCATTCTGGTTTCGATTGTACGTTGAATAAAGGGCTCTCAGCTAAGTTGAAGACTTTACATAATAATCCAATGCTGTAAAAATATAAAAACGAATGAATATTGATTATAATTCATAAAAAATTATTCAATCAAAATGATTTCTCATACAAACCTTATTTCCCAAGCAGTAGAAAGTGTTAAATTTTCTGACCAACTTGATTTAAAAATTGCCTGCAGTTCTTCTAAACGTGCTACATCAACATCACTATCATCAGATAAAATATAAAAATATTCATAAAGTTGAACAAATTTTTTATTTAACTCTGTCCAATCAAAAGGTTTTTTGACATGTACTGTTCCTGATTTAACTTGCTTTAAATTAACATTTAATTTAGTATCAATAATTTCCATAAATCTACAGATTATATCTTTTAACAGAGTAACATTTGAGCCTGAGGGATACTGAATAAGTTCAGGTGGATTTTCTACTTGACAATAAGAGTTATAAAGATTGTTATATTCCAGTATATCTAAAATTCTATCTATATCACTTATTGTTAAATAAAATGTTTCTATAAGTTGAACTTTGTGAGTCTTTAATTGTTTTATCAAAATTTCTGAATCTTTTTGTAAATCTTCTAAAATTAAACCAGCAACTTTATCTATATTTTCAAGATGTGGTCTCATTACAAGATATGATATGCTATGAACCCCAATAGATTTCACAATACTCAAATAATATCCTAAAATTATTTTTTTCCCTTCAAGTACAGTATCTTTAATTACTCGAGTCCATTCCTCAGGCAGATTGAGTTTGGTAAAATTCAAAAAATTTTGTCCTGGTGGATTACTTAACTTTCCTATATCCAAATCAGGTGAAGCTTCACCATCATCTACTGATGGCTCAGGTTTCGATAAAACAATGTTAATAAATGTTGATAAAATGCTTTCAACAACTTTTCGAAAGTTTTCAAACTCAAAAAGATTGTATATGTCGTTAATAAGGTTTTTGATTTCATCTTGACACAGAAATTGGTGAATATTATTTAATTCATTCTCAGAATAATTCGACTTTGTGAATATTCTTTGAAAGACTTTATGATCACAGAGTGCATTTGCAGGTTCATCTTTGTCGAAAGTTTCTATTAAATTTTCTATAAAACTTAAATCAGAGAATGAGTCAATAACTAATTTGTAAAAATTTGGTTTTTGACTTTTTATAATTTTAGTAATAGTATTATTATGCTTTTCTAAAATATTAACAAAACGCTCTGATACTTCTTGTTGCATTGTAACTGCATAGCCTATTAATCGAGCAAATTTAGAAAAAATAGCCGTAATATAAGATAATGGATCAGTGGCTTTTGAGGTAGAGACTGAAGTTTTAGAATCTGATCCGTTCTGATTAAATTGATCATATGGTAATCTAGATGCTAAATCAATAATATCTTGATAAATTTCTTTAATTAAATCAAACATCTCAGTAGAATTGGTTTGTTCTTTGGAGCTTGTACAATTTGTGTCTTTAGGGCAGATGAATTTATCTTCTTCCATTTTATTTTTTAAAAGTTCTATAAGAGAGCTGAGTTTATAGAGCCCATGGCGTGCAATGTACCAGTTTGGATCATCAACAAAAAGTGGATCCATTTTTTCAACTGATTTATTTATACTGGAAAATATAAATTTATTAATTCATCTAGATTTGACTCGAAAACATATTTTAAAAAAACATTCAAGTACTTACAAAGATATATCTAAGTTTTTTTTATGAATTAACAGTGACATTATTTCAGGCAACCACCGTTGCATCTTTAAATATCCAGGTATAAACTGCTTCATCATATCTAATTCCAAAATATTTTTAATCGTTTTAGAAACATCTTCACTCAAACTATAATTTTGAAACTTCGTCATCACATTCTGGATAATTTGAAGAAATCTATCAAAATTAAAATACTTTGCTAACTGTTCTATCATTGATGGAACTTTGTCCTGATTCAAGTTACACAATGTTTGAGAAATAACAGAAAGGTCTTGTTCTTTAGACACAGTCAAATATTGGCCCAACATTTCTGGAGAGCAAATTATTTTATCTACACCAGATGAAGAACTTAACATATTCATGATGTATAGTAAGTTAATGGGAGTACGAAGTAAAGTATTCATTAAATTTTCATCCCCATTAGACAATTGGTTTTTTAACAGAGCTTTAACTTCCTCATGATCGTTTAATATATCACCAAGTTTAATACCGTCAATGAAAATGGTTTTAATGTTTGGCTGTGTTAGAATTTCTGTCATTGATTTTAAAAAATAAACACTTTGAGGAAGAACATTGATAGCTTCAGTGATTGTTTTATTTTCTAAAATTCTCTGGAATTCTTTTATGGGTTGACTGAGTCTGTAATATTATTTTAAGATAATAATTGATAATTACAAGTAATAAGGTGGGCTTTAAAAGTAACTAAGTTTACCTTGTTTTCGAAAATAAAGGGAATTCTTCATATTGATCAAGTGATTCACAAGGATTGCCTACATTACAAAGATAAGATTGAACGAATGGCAAAAGTCCATCATGAGGCATAAGTCTTGCTCGAAATTGGCATGTTGGGTGATACTCAGGAGCTACTTTATCTCGAAGAGTATATAAGAGCATGAAAATAATTATTGGCCAAAGGATGATAAAAGCAAGGATCATCTAAAATAATTATTTTTCTTACTCTTACAAAAAACCACTTATCATTCATAAAAGTTTTTTCTTTCTTACTAAATTATTATTTAAACTTTACTGGCAATCTTATTAAAAAAAAAAGTAAAATAAAATGCTACTTACTCGATGACGACTTCGAATTAAACAGTTTTTCCATAAGAGCAAAAAAATTTGACTGCACCCCATTTTTAAAAGTTTTAATTTAAAAAAAACGTGACGTTCAATACAATCAATTCACTTGCAGGCATTGATGAATGAAACTATTTTTTTATTGCAAATCCAACCGTAAAACAATACATAGATGAGAATGTACTTTCATGTGAGCTCTATTACAATACTTTTATTCACGTAATTATACGTAATTTAATTCACAGGAAAATGCACTTCAGAAAGTTGTTCTCACATTATCACTGTCATCTGATTTTTTACACAGATAAAAACAAAACACTAGAATAAAATTCATTAAATACTACGAAGTATTTATAAATTCAATAATTACAATAATGATAATAATAACTCAAATTAAATTTTTCTAATTGACTATTTATTTAGTTGATAATTTAAATTGAAAAAATATTGACTTAATCTTTTGCATGAATCTTAAAAAAAAATTTTACTGTGCTACAAACACAGTTCATACATAACTGTTGAATGATCTTCATAAATTCGAGTCTTTGCATTATGTATTACAGAATGTCTCTCAAATAAAAATGCATAAATTCCATTTTGATTTACAATGACTACTCATTGGTACAAATGACTCTAATTCAACTTGAATTTTAACTAATATTTGAAAGCAGATGTTATTAGAGACGTTAATTTTATGAGAGAATACAACACGCAATGCACATTTCAAGGACTTATCTCATTTACGTAAGTACGTAGACTATCACAAGCATAAATAGTTTTATATCAAGATATTTTGTTTCATTTCAATCTATCCACTTTCTTGAAAATAATAGAAAGTTCAATAAACAAAATTCATTGGATCATTAAATTAAACAATCACTTACTAATTATGTTTTTTTCTTCTTGTATTAAAATCTAAAATATTTATTTTTGAAAATAATAAAATTCGACAGGTATTAAACTTATGACTGATGGATCAGCAGATCTTTGCGTTACTGGTCAGCTATTTACGGAAATTATCGAAGGCTATATTTGCAATGTCTACATTAATTACAGGTTATTATCGAGTAGAAAATGTATGTGAAGATGGAAAATCTATGTTCTTGTAAATCGGATAAAAACAATTGTATAAGTATTACCTGGTATGTACATTGATTTTGTGATGATGATGAAATTTAATTAGCAGCTAATGATGAGGATAATTACAAAATAAATAAACAATTTTTCAATTTGACTCTGTCTCGTTTATTAAACTCTTATATTTTTTGAATGAATGAATAATAAAAAAATACATATACTTAAAAAAGTAATTAAACTATCTAAATAGCAAGAAATTGTTTATTTCTATTAATTTTTATATTATTATTGATACTTTGAGTATTTCCAATTGCATCATTCATTTGAAAAACATAATTAATAGATCACGTTATCATTTTTTCAGATGATGTAAAAATCGTGCATCATGATTAAGTAAAATTAAAAAAAACAGTTCGATCATCAGATCATCATTTATTAGCTAAGAAAAATTTATTTAATATTAATTTTTGATTTATGAAGTATTATGTTCTTGAACTTTTTATGAATGAAGGAAAGTAGAAGGGATGTAAATAAATATAAAAATTAGATGTAAATAAATGTTCTATATAAATGCACGCGCATATAAACTCCTCGCGCGAAATAACATGCGCAGAAGTTATGAATTTGAAACCCACAGTCCCTCGATAGAAATTACATACAGATAAGCTTGAGTTTAGCTTCCTGATGTAGTTAATATCACGACGTGTTTCTCTATCTTTAAGACATTCGTTTATTCTACTATAGAATTAAATCATCTCTACGCAAATGATTTTTTATACATTATATTTGATAACCTCATTAAATTGTAACACTTCTAATTAAATTTACTGAAGCAAGATATTGATTCTTGTTTTGTTTAACATTATATGAAGATACGCAAGTCTGAGTGGATTTGATCGGCTATATATTCCATTTGAATTATTTATTTTTGAGAGCATGGCTTGTCCTTTGGGGAACGTGTAAGTAAATTACTTTCGATAAACTATTGACAATGTTTAGTAATAAATAGTGTACTCAAATATTATTTCAATTACATTCTCATTTAATTTGAATTTTGTAAGAAATATTGAATTTAAAATCATTTTGACACTTTCATGAATTTTTTCTATCTACATTTAATCTTTGTTTTAAACAAAATTCATTCTTAATAACAGATAAAATAATTTTTTAGAATTAATTTGTTTTTTCGAATTAAATAAATATAAAAAAAAAACTTTATACTGCATCGTTTATATTTATTTCATAACATATTTAATAAAAAAACGTGTTTTTTATTATTAATTGATAAAAAAGATATAAAAAAATACAACAGTGGAATTTATCTGCAATTTATATAAACATTTAAAAAATATATTACGAAAGACATGATGTGGTGTATTGTTTATACATTTTTTTCTAAAGAAATATAGAGCATTTGTATTGATTTAAATTATTGTATGAATTATTTGTTTTCTCAATATTACGATATTAAGTTGAGCAATAGTTAATTAATCTACATTATTACAGGTACGAAGGGATGAACCAAAATGAAGATAAATCAATCGAGGATTTGAACGTCGGGCTTTGGTACGGTGAATATCTTTGTCTTGATAAAATACTATCAGCTCAACGTCTTCTTAGTTCAACCCAAAACAAAGAAATTCACGATGAGCATTTATTTATCATCACTCACCAAGGTTTATTTTAAATTAAAATAATTAATATGCTAAAATATAATTAACAAAATTAATCTTCTTGGTCAACTAATAAACTTATTTTATCAAATAGCCTATGAACTTTGGTTTAAACAAATTATCTATGAACTGGATTCTGTCAGAGATTTATTGAATGGAAAAACCACAGCTACACATATATATTATGATTCGTACAATGACGAGAAGATAAAAGCTGAAAAATATCAACGAATGGATGAGACTCAGACTCTAGAGATTTTAAAAAGACTTAATCGCATTGTCTTGATCCTTAAAGTACGTATAATATTTGAGTTAAATAATTATTGTTACCTCAAAACCCTAGAAGAATTCTTATTGACAAATTAGTTAGACAGAAAGGATTAAAGAAATAATCGAAGAATTTTTTTTCCAAGCGTGGGTCATAATCTAATTGAAGTACTTGTGAAACCTTTCTATCTTCTTGTTTCTTTTACATTTCATTATTATTTAAACTCAGTTACTCAATAGAGTTTTTTCATGATTTTTACTCATATATTGTAATACAAGGTAAATTATATTTATCAAGGTAGTAAAATTATCAACATGTAAGATCAGGGAGAAAGTAAATTGATATGAATGAAATGCTATACAATATATATGGTTGAAAACATGTCCTGATTTAGTAAGGTAATACTCTTAAAGACAACATTCATAATACCGCAGAGATAAGATGAGGATAAAAAACAAGTTCAATCAACTTGAGGAAATTTCTGTATTTGTGAATGAAGTAGTGAATGATTGCTATCACATGTTAATAATTATTTATCATATTTTATCAATTTATCTTTTAACAAACATCAAAAGCTAGATTTTTCTACCGATTAAAAGTAAATTAGAAACATAAATAAGATAGTAATAATTTTGATATACTTTTTTTTTCTTCATTGAATGAAAAATCATGTCACTGAAATTGGTTCCAAATATATTTTTGTTACAGCTACTTGTGGATCAGGTAACAATTTTAGAAACTATGACACCATTAGATTTCATGGAATTTCGAGATTACTTATCTCCAGCATCTGGCTTTCAATCACTTCAATTCCGCTTGCTGGAAAATAAACTTGGAGTAAAACAGGAGCATCGTTCTAGGTATAATCAGTCTTACACAAAAATATTTGGAAATGATCCAGCAGCTATAGAAGCTATCCAAAAATCAGAAACGGAGCCAAGTTTATGCCATTTGGTCCAGAATTGGTTATCTAGAACTCCTGGACTTGAACAAGGTGAATTTGATTTTTGGGGAAAATATCAGTCAGCTGTCGAGCAAATGATAGCTAAACAAGAAATTATAGCTCAGGTATAATTCATCAATAATAATTAAAAACATTCTAATATTTTTGTCAAGTAAGCAAAAAAAAGAATCATGTTCTTGATCTTTTTATGGCATAAAAATGAAATCACTAAATATTGATTGAAATTTCAGAATCAAACTGAAGAAACAGTACGAAATTATATGTCTGCTAATATATCTGCAAAAAAATCTATGTTCGAAACAATATTTAATAAATCTCTACATGATGCTCTTGTCGCTCGTGGTGAAAGACAGTTTTGTCATGATGCTCTTCGAGGTGCCATTATGATAACTCTTTATCGTGATGAACCAAGATTCAGTCAACCACATCAGATACTAACTGCACTCATGGATATTGATTCTTTAATTACCAAATGGAGATGTAAGTCATAATAAATTATCTATAAAAATAGAACGGTACAAAAAAAAATAAAAGAAATTGTTTTTGAAGATAATCATGTCATTATGGTCCAAAGAATGATTGGATCCCAACAATTTGGTACTGGTGGCTCATCAGGATATCAATACTTGAAATCAACATTGAGGTAATTAAAATTCTATGGTTACAATATTATCAGAATAAAAGTTTTATTGCTATTAATCAATAATTATTTTAGTGATCGATACAAAGTTTTCTTGGATTTATTCAACCTCTCTAATTTTTTGATTCCACGAAACATTATCCCACCGTTGACCAAGCAAATGAAGACCAAACTCTCGATAGCTTGGGAATCCTGGAGCCATGAGAAACTCGTATCTCGACAGGATACATCCGAAAGTTCCATAGAAGAATCTCTATAAGAAAAATATAAAATATTTTTATGATTAAGATTTTCAATAATTTTATAATCATTTTATAAAAAACAAATATAATTATATATATATATATATATATATATAGGGAATAGTAATACATTTATTGATTCCAAAATGTTTAGATGTACATAAAATTGTTTATTACCACTATATAAAAAAAATCTCTCTATAGTTTTTCAAATCTTTTTCACACAACTGTATACAAACATTAGCCTTAGTCACAATAAATTAATTAATTATATTTTTTACTACTACATTGCTCTTATAAGACTTGCCTTATACATAAACTGCTAAATAAAGAATTTATCATAAACTGAGTATAATATTTATTACAAATGTAACACAGTCACCATTGTAGAGCTCACATTAATCATTCAAAACAAAAGATCATTGATTACAATATTTTCACTAGTATTCAAAAAGAGTTATTTTAGTCTTGAAGAAAGAGATATTTGTGTATTTTCCTTTAAAATACAATATTATTACAATATAATATCATAGTTTTATATTTAAAATTCCATAAAATACAACATGATATAACGGAAATGAACAACATGAAATAAAATAATTTTTTTAAATAAATTTAAAAATATATCACTATGAAAGCTAATTATTGTTGTCAATAAATATTTTAATAAATTTATTCTTATGATATAAAATAAGTTAGGAAATAAATCTTTTTATTTCAATAGTATTTTTAACAATAATTCTTCAGCATTATCTAATAGAAATGATTTTTTTATAATTTTCTAGCTTAACTCTTTCAGGGTTTCTAGGGCAGCTATGGATTTAATTTTTCAACTTGGATATACTTTAATAGATCTATTTATATAAACAATGCTACCCAATAAAAAAAAATCAAACTCAATAAATAAACGAACTAAATTAATAACAAATCCATTATTTATTAATGTAATTTTTAAATAAACAATGAAACACCAGAGTATAATAATTTATCCAATGTATAAATACCTGTACTTTATTATTACTACGATTTTTCAATAGCATAATGTCATATATTATTAACGTTGTGGATAAGAAACCCTATCATAGCCGCTGTCACACGCACAAGAGTCATATTTCTAATCTTGTGCAGTGGCCAGCAGCTGCATTAGGGTCTACATTTAAACACTATTTCAATAATCAAATTACACTTTACAATCGATTTATGTTATATTTATATTCTTAAAAATCATGTACATCATACTCGAGTAAAGCCAGTTCAAAGTTATATGCATCAATGAATTTTTTATCAACATAATCAATCTTTGAAATTAACAATTCCTTTTCTAATCCAAATGATTGAAATTTTTATTTACCAACAAACATTCATTACACTGTACATGATAATTAATTGGTTATAAAAAAAATATATTTCATATAATGCTGATATCTGTTTTGAAATAAACCGATATTTGTCCGTAATTTTAGCACAAGACATTCTTAGTTTTGTTGATAAATGAACCTCACGATTGAAACTTATTAATAGGGTTGTTTGTGAATTATATTAAATTATTAAAAATATTTTCAATAAGGAGATGTGTGAAATGTCGCACTACACTTTGTAAATAATTGTACCAACTGTAAAACTGAAATAACATTGAGAATTCTTACGATAACTACTGGTAATTTATATTTATTCCCCATTTATATACCTTGAATACACACGGTCACATGATCTACCAACCAATTGTATGACTTCTTGTTAGCCTATCGACCAATAGAATATTTGTGATGTAAGACACGTGTACCTTGAGCATAAGCAGTGCAGTACCTGATTAAGTAGGAGACATGTGATATAAATTTTTATGTATATTTTTTTATATATATATTGCAAAAATACCTTAATTCTTTAAAGAAATTAGCTTAAGTCTATTTTTAATAAAATACATTATTTACCTATATTTTTTTTTATTTTACTTTTATAGTTCACCCCATTAACTGATTCGTTTGTTATTCCTATTAAATATTAATTGTCATCAGATAAAATTTTCTAGAAATAAAGATCATTTACATAGCAAGATTATTTTATTTTTATTGACATTGTGAAATTTTAAGAATAGTTGTAAGCATGTACTTACTTTTAAAGAGTAATAAAAATAGAAAAGAATTTGTTTCATTTGGAAAAATTATGACAATAGATAAACATGTATATACTTGAAAAAAGTATATTGTCTTAATTTTTAAATAATTTTAATAAATAAATAAAATTATAAAATTAATGAGCTTATTGTTATTAATTATTGTGGCTAAAAAAATAAGATAGTCATTCTCTGATAATGTACTACTTCTTGGAGTTTCGTCGAAGATGGAATTCTCATTGTACGAAAGATGCTTGACATTCAAGAACTCTTTTTGATAACAAGAGTAACATTAGCCGAGTAAGCTTCACAACACTTTTTTGGATTCAGCTTAGTACTACACATCGGCTTCTTCATATTAATGTTTTCTATTCTTACGTAATATTTTTTTCTGTGTCGATTAGTTTTTTAATTTCAGACTCGACTATGTTAATTATTTATATCTACCATACTAATAAACACTTCATATTAGTTACTATTATTAAAATAAACTTAAATAATTTTCTGTTTTACATTATTACACGTTACATACACACCACAAGTTACTTCAAGTAGAACGTATTTGATGTCGCTTTAAAGATGATGTTTTTATAGGTAACCAGCTTAAGTTTATGTCATATTTCATATCGTAATTATACAATGAAATAAGACAGAAACATAAGACGGCTTGCCTATTACAAATTTCTTGAGAAATATTCAAAGATGTCAGCGATTAAGATTGTCTCAGACGATTCACTGGCACTTTGGGAGACAGTTAAGTGATATAGAATATATTACGTCGGACCAAGAGTTGGGATCTTCTTATCGGCATTCAACCACACCATCTTGAAGTTGATTGATGAATGCACGAATTTACACCAAATCGGATGTCCAGTTCTTATCACTGCAGTAGGAGAATTTAGTATTTAAGTTCAAAATCGATTCAAAATATTGATTATTTTATCATAAAAGATAATTTTAAACCAAAAACTTTGATTATCAAATAAAAGTTAATCTAATTGATTAAAAAAAACATTTAAGTAATTGATAAGTAAAATAGTTATTGATATATAATAAAATTCAATTTGTTTATGATTAAAATTTTTTAATGAATTAATTTAATTAAATTGATCCCTGTAACAGAACATCGAAAAAAAATATTTTTTTTTCATCTTTCACTAAATATTCATCCTATTCTTCATATTGAGTTGCTTTTGAAATATTGAATAACCATCGATCGTAAATTCTTACCTGCGACCCCGAACGTTATTTTTTATAATGAAGAACAGTATAACGTGCTAAAATAATTTACAAACCTAATTCTGGAAGAATAGTTTATTCCAATCTGTTTGATATAAATAGGGAAATAAGAGTAAAATTATATTTAAGTTGTTAATTCATAATTTAATGTGAGAAAAGTAAAACCAGTTATTTGAGCTAGATTATTGCCTTCTTTTAACTGATTGATTTTACGTTCAAGATATGAATAACTGTAACACTATCAACAGCTATACTACTTAGCCTATATTGTTATAAAAATCAATTGTTAAGTGGGTTTGAATACATAGTATCAAGTCAACTCTTAGTGTTGTACTATAAATTATCCCCATTTTGTTATTGTTTTTTTATTAAAAATTATTTCAACGATATTTTTTCAACACAATCATTTAATTAACTTTTGTAAGCAATCATTAATGTCTTAATAACTTTATTAATTAATAAAGAAATATTTTCCATTAATCATTAAATATTTAATAATTAATATTGAAATTACGAGAATTGTTGGAGAAATCTGTACTATGGTAGACTGGAATTAGACTTAGCATCAACTTCTTCATCGAAATTCTTTGTGTTTCAAAATATATATTTTTTCCATAGAACCTTTTGATTATAGTTTTTAGAAGCCTTACAATAAGTTTATTTGACTTTGTAGAAACTGATATGGCTGTATGGTGTTTTATTCTTTACACCTACACTGAATATAAATGTCATATTTAAAAAAATATATTTTTAAAATGTTTTAACTTCTTTTCAATACTATTATTTAACAATATATATAAATATCGATTTTTTAATTAATTCGTTAAATATTTAATTTAATAAAATCTCATCGATTAAAAATAGGATAATTCGTATCAAAATTTAATGATAAATATTATTTGTTTTATTATCAACCAAATTCATTGAAAGCTTTACAAAAGTTATTATTCATTTATTGTTAAATTACTAACATTTTTACACTGTTATAATTTCCAAAGAGCATTAAGAATTGTATTATAAAATATCATTTTGGTGAAATGAAGTTAATGGAAGAATGCAAATATTTATTTCATTGCTTTTATCACAAAGCTATTTGAAATCTGTGAAAAAAGTCCATCACCTGATTTTTTATCAGTATTATTTGTTATCAGTTTCTTTCCTAAAGTGAAAAAGAAATACATAGATGCATGTATGTGTTTATGTGTACACAATGAAACCCACCAAGTGTCAGTAAGGGTCGAAATTAATCCATTTTACTGTGCAAAGATTAAAACGGCTTCTTATGCAATTTCATACCACGTACTTTGTTTATGATATTTTGTACTTTTTCATGCCTATTTCAAATCGTGTGAGATATTAATTCTCTAAATAAACTAATATAGATTTTATTTATTTCTTCCAATACCATAATATCTTGACATTGATTATTACATGTATTTAAAATTCATGTAAATAAATAACATTAATCAGAACTGATTGTAGTCATTTTTTATCATTTTTAATAATGAAACGTATAAAACAGAAGAAATAAAAAAACCCAAACGACTCAAATCAATTGAACAGAATATGATGAATGTAATTTTTTTTTTTTGTTTCATTCAATTTATTTTTAATTAAATTCAGATATAATTTAACTATTAATTAGTAATATATGTAAAGATCAAATTTTATCATAAATAATCCATTTTTATTT